AGTTTTTTCCTTGTTTTTTTGGATAAAAAAGAAATATATATTACCTATAAACAAAGATGCGTGTATGTCTTCTTCCTGATCTGTTTGTAGAATTTTTCCTTTCAATTGTCTTATTGCATTAGCTGGACCTTCCAGTACAAAGTTAAAGGGGAGTAGTGAGAGGAGACATTCTTGCCTTGTATATAATCTTTTTCTCCCCAATATGTTTTTATTGATTTCAGAGAAGAAGGGAGAAGGAGAAAGATAGAAACATCAGTGATAAGCCCTAGCCAGTTTGGCTCAGTGGATAGAGCGTCGGCTTACAGACGGAAGGGTCCCAGGTTCATTCCAGTCAAGGGCAGGTACCTTGGTTGCAGGCTCCTCCCCAGCCCTGGCCCTGGTCAGGGCATGTGCAGGAGGCAACCAATTGATGTGTTTCTCTCATATCAATGTTTCTCTCTGTCTTTTCCTCTCTCTTCCACCCTCTCTAAAAGATTCAATGGAAAAATATCCTCAGGTGAGGATTAACAAAAAAAAAATATGTGCCCTGACTAGGAATTGAACTGTGATCTCATTCATAGGTCATTGCTCAACCACTGAGTCACACTGGCCGGATGCTTTTTATCTAATCTTAATGGGAAAGCTTAGATTTTCTTACCATTAAGTATGGTCTTAGCTCTGGGATGTTTTATAGATCAACTTCAGGAAGTTTTAGTAAAATTTGAATTTCTGTTCAACTCCAAAATTTCCAGTTGACTTTTTAAACTAATTTCTATTTCTTTATTGATATTCTCTATTTGATCAGACATCATTTTTATATTTTCCTTGAATCTGTTAGACATAGTTTCATTTCCTTCTTTTTTATAATAGCTGATTTTAAAACTTTATCTAATAAGTTCAACATCCATGTTTTCTCAGGGACAGTTTCTATTGACTACTTTACTTTCTTCTGCATATGGTGATACTCTCCTGTTTCTTTGTATGTCTCATTTTGTTGGAGGGAAGTGAAAAATGGCATTTTTTTTTTAAAGGTGACAGCTCAGGTTGTTAAATATATTTTTGGTGCCTTAGCCAGTTTGGCTTAGTGGATAGAGCGTCAGCCTGCAGACTGAAGGGTCCTCCCGGGGTTTGATTCTGCTCAAGGACACATGCCTGGGTTTCGGGCTCAGTCCCTAGTGGGGGGCGTGCAGGAGGCAGCCAATCAATGATTCTCTCTCATCATTGATGTTTCTATCTCTCCCTCTCCCTTCCTCTCTGAAATCAATAAAAAAAAAATTTTTTTTAAATATATATTTGGTGGCTTGCTGAAGTGTTTTCTTCTTGTTTTTTTTTGTTTTTGTTTTTGTTTTTTTATTGTTGACACTATTACAGATGTTCCCCCACCTCCTTTTTAAAAAACAAAAATAACATAATATGGCATCTCTGGAAATTAGACTCTCCCAGGGCTCATTTTTGATGCTTTTTATTAGTTTATTAACGACTTTCAAGATCTAATTCTGTAGCTCCTATTTTCATGTATGTTCACTGAAATGTTTGCCCAGTTAGCTTAGCGGTCACCTAGTGACTAAACTTATTGCCTTGGAGCCATAAGTCTCCTATTCTTTGCCAAGGGACTCTGTGTGTTGGTTCAGGCATGATGTCAGGGCTCTGGCAGTTTACTCTGCCCCATCCCTCACTTCCTGCTTGAGCAGGGCCTCAAAGTTAATAGAATTGAAAGACTGGGGCCTTCTCAGGTATTTCCTGGATTTACATACAGTTCTGCAGAAGCATGTGGATTTCTAGACCCCGGGGTATGTGTAAGAGCCCTCTAGTTTGTCTCAATTGTTTTTATAGCCTCAGGGAGTTGGGATGTCAAACAACTTGCTGCTGATTACAGGGGTGGGGAACCTTTTTTCTGCCAAGGGCCATTTGGATATTTATAACATCACTTGCGGGCCATACAAACCTATCAACTTAAAAATTAGCCTGCTGTATATGGTCAAACATTTAATTAACTCACCCCTAATGCCTTGGCAGGGTGAGACCAAATGATATCTCGGGCCTTATATGGCCCACTGGCCAGAAGTTCCCCACCCCTGGTTAAGACAAACACCTAGGGATGGGCCTTCTCACTGTGAGCTCTGAGTCAGGTCAAATAAGACTAACCTTGTGAATGGGGTTCTTACCAGGGGCTGCCAGACAAATCGGTGACATTTCTTGAGGGGTAGGGCATTTTGGGGAATTCCACACCCACTCTGCCCCCTCTAGTGGCTACTAGGCTGCTGTTTTTCACAGCTACTGCAGTTGTGAGACAGCTGGTTTTAAAGGGTACCATCGTGTTTGGGAGAGGAGGATGGGAAAAATGTCAAGCCCTAGCTGGTTTGGCTCAGTGGATAGAGCGTCGGCCTGCTGACTGAAGGGTCCCAGGTTCAATTCTGGCCAAGGGCACATGCCGGGGCCTTGGGCTGGATCCCCGGTAGGGGGTGTGCAGGAGGCAGCCAATCAATGATTCTCTCTCATCATTGATGTTTCTTTCTCTCTCTCCCTCTCCCTTCCTCTCTGAAATCACGGTTTCATCTTTGCTTCTTCACAAGCTTCCCTGTAATTGCATAGTTGTTTGCTGCATTGAATTTCTTTTAGCGACAATGAAAAACACATTTTAATGTAGTCTTTAAGTTTCAGGCTGTACATTAAAACATGGAGGGAAAAATCTCCTTCTGAGGAACACTTTTTAAAAACCATTACAGTATAATGGGAATAGTCATTCCTACACATCATATATTTCCCCCCTAAATGTTGTATAAAGAAGTGACAGTTGAGTGAGCATATGTTAATAAAAGGTCTGCATTAAAAAAAAAAAGAAATCAATTTTTTAAAAATATATTTTATTGATTTTTTTACAGAGAAGAAGGGAGAGGGATAGAGAGTTAGAAACATCGATGAGAGAGATCGATCAGCTGCCTCCTGCACACCCCCCAGTAGGGATGTGCCTGCAACCAAGGTACATGCCCTTGACCGGAATCGAACCTGGGACCCTTCAGTCCGCAGGCCGATGCTCTATCCACTGAGCCAAACCGGTTCGGCAAGAAATCAATTTTTTTCAAAAGTGCAAGTCAAAATGCCAAGAGTTTTCTGTTTCCTACTGAGATTCAACCATTTTTCTTAAATAAGTGCTCCTTAGATTTTGAAAGTTTGGGTTAATTTTCAGACTTCTGGGAAAGTTGAGTTTGACGTCTTGCCAGTGTTCTTGCTTTCATGGAGGAGTGAATTTTCATATGCCATCCTCTGCCATTCCAGGAATGCATCTTTAGGTTACTTTTACTTTAAGAGGCATAAAGCTTTTAGAAATGTTGGCCACTCTTACGAAGAAGTGGTCTTTGAGTATACATTCTGCACTTAACATGGAGAAATAAGTTATTTTTTGTTTCCTGTGTTTTTCCCTTACAGCAGTGTTAAGGTCCTTACCCAACCGGACTGTGAACGTTTACTTTGCAGGAAATACGTTAATTTTTATTTTATTTTGTGCTGGCTCACTCATGTCGTGCTCTTAGGTCATGATACAAGACAGTATGTTTCCTCACTTCTAGAGAAGTTAAAATTCTTAATGACAATGTTATAAGATAGAGTTCTCTTATTAATGAGACAGCCAGGACTCAGGCTATTTCCTGCCAACACTTCCTTCAGTTGTCTTCTCTAAATCAGGCCCTACATTCAGGACAATAAAACTATCAAGGTGTATTTTACACTGAAATCACCCTGGCATTTTCCAGACAGCTGATAGAATACACCAAAAATTTGCTCTCTAATAAAGAAGTATTCAAGAAGGAATGCTAAAAATAATCAAATATAATTGGTATGCTCCACGTTTTTAAAATTAGCTTCTCAGTATTATAAGAGCTGCCCTGTTCATAATGTCCACAATGTGGAAGAAGATGACGGCAAAGGGAGGAGCTTTCCCTTTGAGATGAATTTTATACAAGGTAAAGGGTTCTGACCGAGTGGTCAGTTATTGTGGACCTATTATTTTATTTTATTTTATTTTATTTTTAAAATCCTCACCCGAGGATATTTTTCCATTGATTTTTAGAGAGAAAGGAAGAGAAAGGGAAAGACAGCAAAATATTGATTGGTTGCCCCCTGCACCAGAGTCTGGGGGTGTTGGGGCGGGGGAGGGGGGTATATGCCCTTAACCAGAATTGAACCTGGGATCCTTCAGTCTGCAGGCTGATGTTCTATCCACTGATCCAAACCAGCTAGGGTTTGCTTTTTTTTTTTTTTTTTAAAATTTTTATTGATTTAAGAGAGGAAGGGAGAGAGGGAGGGAGAGAGAGAGAGAGAGAGAGAGAGAGAGAGAAACATCAATGATGCGAGAGAATCATTAATCAGCTGCCTCCTGCACACCCCACACTGGGGATCAAGCCCACAACCCGGGTATGTGCCCTCATCGGAATTAAACCATGACCACCTGGTTCATAGGTCGACCCTCAACCACTGAGCCATGGTGGCTGGGAGTGGACCTTTTCAAATGGGTAAAATCATACTCATGTTCATAGGCAAGGGGATGGCTTTGACTATGTTCCTTAATTTATGGGCCTGTGTTCACACACGTAAAATGCAAACAATAGTATCTACACCCTATGGGAATAAATATAAAGCATTTAGGAAAATGCCTGGCAGGTAGTGCTTTAAGGGTATTAGCTGTAGGAGTATGGCTCTTGCTGGCCCCCTTCACCTCTTCCCAGCCAGCATCCAGAACATGCTGGTCACTCCCATTCCCTCTCTTCTACTGAAGAGCTGAGCTCAGGACAGAATAGTCAACCCTGGAAGGCTTTGGTCCAATTCAAATGACAAAGTCCTGGGCCTGACTCTACAGTGAAAAATGAAATTGAAAGCTGTGAATATGTCCTTGATTAGAAGAATAGTTAAGTATCTGGCAAATTCCTAGCAAGTGTCAGAGCTGGGAACTGACCAAGTCTCAGTCAATGGAAACAGGGAAGCAGAAGTCACATTCCCATTCACACTCAAATAATTTGCAAGTCACCTGCGGGGTAACTAGTTTATTCAAACTGTTGGACAGAGCTCCGACCATGGGGGCTGAGCCATGGGGCTTAACTGCATGGGGATGACCAGGTATCAGAAGGTAAAAGGAGCTCAGCTGAGCAGCAGGAGCAGCATTAAGGCCAGGCCAAGCAGGAGAAGTTAGGACTCATGGAGCCCAGCTCCATTCATGGCCTCAGCATAGAACCTGGCCACCTCCTCGTTGGGGTTGCCCTGTGCCGGGTCAAACCACATCTGGATGCAGCGGCCACTGCCTCGGCTGTAGTTGCTGACTTTGTAGGAGTGACTCCAGATTTCATTGCACAGAGCAGCAGGCGTGGGGAAGTAGAAATCAAAGCGGTGGCAGGCAGCCTTCACCGGGCACTCATTAGACCCTGTGGGAGGATGGGAGGCCTTTAGCCATTGGGCCCAGAACTATCTCTGGTTCTGCCAACTTCACAACTCTCTCCCTTCATATACCCATCTCACACCCCCACTGTCCCCCTCTCACCCCACCCACCAGGCTCTCACCTGCGGTCCAGTTCCAGCCCTTGTGCCAGTTACCCTTGCAGGTGTAGGAGGTGCGGCAGTCTTCCCACCAGCTCTCACAGTCCTCTTTGCACAGGGGCACGTCCAGGATCCGCTCTCTGCGCCAGCTCTGGTTCACCTGGGAGATGTCAGTAGGGGAAAAGCACTCAGGCTCAGGATTCTCAGTAGCCCAGCCCTAAAGAGCCCCGAGCTGCAGAGGCAGGACGAGGAGATGTCTGGGAAGCAGGCATGGGGAGGAACTCATACCTCCTGGATCCAGGGCCCCAGGTTGGGGGAGCACTCATACAGGCAGGTGTCCTGGATGAAGTGGCGCTTGCAGGCGGGTTTCATCGGGCCGCAGTGGTCCCAGTTGAATCTGTACAGGTAGGAGACATCCTTATGGGCTTCCTGGCTGGTGTTGACAGAGCAGCAGGCGTTCTTCTTCCAGGGACTGCACTGGGTGGGGAAGACACAGGACTAAGTTCTTCCCCCAGAACAGCCATCTTCTCCATTTTCTGGCCCCAGTATATCATCCAGAGGAAGACTCAGTGGGGAGGGTGTCTTTATGCCTGGCACTTGAGGAGCCCCCATTTGTGTTAAAGGCAATTATGATATTGGATTTTAACAGAGTAACAGGGGATGTGGGCAACCTGGAGAACCTCTGTCTGGAGAAGCAACTATTATTTGTATAGCTCTAAACAGTTTATAAACGTATTTCAGCCGTAACCGGTTTGGCTCAGTGGATAGAGCGTCGGCCTGCGGACTGAAGGGTCCCAGGTTCGATTCCGGTCAAGGGCATGTACCTTGGTTGCGGGCACATCCCCAGTAGGAGGTGTGCAGGAGGCAGCTGATCAATGTTTCTCTCTCATTGATGTTTCTATCCCTCTCCCTTCCTCTCTGTAAAAAAAAATCAATAAAATATATATTTAAACGTATTTCACATTATTTAAGTTATTTATATTACTCATTTTGCATCCAACCAATATTGAGTGCTTATTATATATCAGGCACTGGGCTAGATACTAAGAATACTACAGTGAACAAAACAGATCAAACCTCTTCTCTCATGTTGTGTATGATTTTCCTTCGGAGTTGGGGGAAGCCAAAGAACATTGTAGGCCTAGAAAACAGCAGGCGCAGAGTCCCTGAGGCTTTTGTGCTTTATCCTCTCAACAATCCAGTAAAAACATCATTACTCCAAATTTTATGGAGTGTAAGTAAGCTGAACCCCTGGTAAATGGTGGGGTTAAGATTCAGGACAGGCCCTAACCGGTTTGGCTCAATGGATAGAGCGTAGGCCTGCGGACTGAAGGGTCCCAGGTTTGATTCCGGTCAAGGGCATGTACCTTGGTTGTGGGCACATCCCCAGTGGGAGATATATATATATATATTTTTTTAATCACTCTAGATTGGGATTCAAGAGCTGTATGATCATGGACCAATTGCTTCAACTCTCTGAGATGGACTCTAGTACCCACAGTCAAGCAAGAGGGGAGATTTGTTTTTTAATTGATTTCAGAGAAGAAGGGAGAGGGAGAGAGAAATTGAAACATCAATGATGAGAGAGAATCATTGATCAGTTGCCTCTTGCATGTCCCCTACTGGGGATTGAGCCCGCAACCCGGGCATGTGCCCTGACGAATTGAAATCGAACCTGAGACCCTTCAGTCCGCAGGCCAACGTTCTATCCACTGAGCCAGACCGGCTTGGGCTTCAGAGAGTTCTTAAAAAGAACTTAAAAAGTTCTAAAAATGACGAGGTAGGTACCAACTTCTGGGTGGGGAAAATGAAGTCGTTCTGGAGATGGGTGGTGGCGATGGTTGCACAACAATGTGAATGCACTTAATGCCACTGAACCGTACACTTTGAAATGCTTAAATGGCAAATTTTATGTTATGCATATAGGGTGTCCCCAAAAAATGTATATACACACTTTGAATAGTTATAAAGGCCGTGTTTGTTAAAATACACTTCATTTTCAAAATTGAGCTATCAGCTGTTAAAGTGTGTATACATTTTTTGAGGACACCCTGTATTTCACCACGTACGCACACAAAGCAATGAAATGTTGGAAACGACTCAGGAGTCATGGGGCTGCTGGGCTTCCTCCTCTTCACTTCGAGTCCCTGGAGTGAGTCCATGCCACAGTCTTTCCCGGAGAACATCCCCAGCCCTCTGGCAACGTGAAACCTTGTGGGGAGCAGAGTTGGAGACCAGGAGGAACGAAATACTGGCATCTCTCATGAGCCTGGAGTTCAACTTCAAGCTCAGATTTCCTGAACTGCTTCCAGGGGCCTTATCTATGAAATGGGGACCCTGGTCTCACCTCTCCTTTTCTGTGGTCTCTGGCCCACAAGACTTGCCACTCTTTGTCCTGTCACCCTTCGACCCGTGTACATGCTGTCCTCTTCTAGGTGGCCCCTTCCTGCTTGGTCTTCCTGGAAAATGCTTATTCATCCTCCAAGGCCAAGTACATCTGATTTGTCACTGTCTCTTCAGAACCTCATGGGGGTGGAGGACCTGGCCTGTTTGTATATGTGAGCTTCCTGGTGACTGCGAGAGACCGGTCTCCCCTTCTGCCTTACCTCTGAGCTGTGTGCGCTGGCCCAGAATGAAGGCTGGGAAACTTCTGCCTGTCTCTCTCCAGCCCCTGCTAATGATTAGCCTCTCAATCTCCACGGGTATCTGTGCTCTCTCTGGGCCTATTTCTTCACTTGTTTAAGTAAAGACCACCACCCACCAACCAAGTAGGACATTTGGGCTTATTCACTGATAAGATGTGAGGAAAGCACTCGGCCCATAGTAGGTTCCCCCCACCCCTGTTGTAGATTTGGTGGCCCCTGGAGAGACCCTCAGTATCACCTTAGTCACACTCCTGCCTCTATCACCCCCCTCAAAGTTGATCTTCCTATCACCCTACTTCTTCCCTTTCTGGGGTCAATCCTTTCCCCACCCCACCCTCACCTGGCCATGAAGCTTGTCCTCGGGGCTTGGCTTTGTCTTGTGGTACTTGGCGTCCATGCAGACATTGAGCAGATCCGTCCTGCCCTGTCTAGTCCTGGGCGGAGCACCCCACACAGCAGTCGCCGAAGCCAGAAGCAGCAGCTGTGTGATCTTCCAGGCCATGTCCATCTGTTCCTGCCAGAAAGCCACGGTCAGAGAGTCAAAAGGCCTGAGAGGCAGCAACCATAAGACTCTTGGTCATATTTCTTGTCCCCCTCCCAAGCCCAGATCTTCTCCCCACCCAGTTTACCCCACAGAGCAGCTGAGCCAAGCAATGAGGGGCATGTAGAGGCCTGGGCCAGAGGCAGGAATTCCTCTCCCCACCCCCAACCCTCAATTGAGGACACTTCAACACTAGCTTGCTCTTGATCTCTTCTGGATTTCACCAGCCAGTATTCCATCCACAATGGGAAATCTCTGCCAGCTTGGCAAGTCCTCTCAAATCTGCTCAAGAGAAACCACAGAGCATGGCCTGCCGATGGGTTGGGGAGTGAGAGGAAGGGGCACCTGCCAGCCTTGGCAGCCTAGAGGCTTTTAGGTGCCCAGAGACTGCCAGTGGGGCAGACAGGGAAACTGTCCTGGGCCAGATGAAGGCCACTGAGTTGTTCAGTTATGGCTCATGGTCCTGGACCAGGTGACATGGGAGTTGGAAGTAGGGTTGGGGGGCAATGTGGCAAGCCAGTGAGAGTGCAGACCCAGTCAGCCAGACTCCAGATCCTCAAGTATCAACAATCCCTCCTGCCACACAGAGGGGTCTTGGGAAGTTCCCCTAGCAGAGTCAGGCCTAGAGCTAGAAGGTCAACAGATAAGGGGCCTGTGGAGCAGAGGGCTGAGCCAGAGCAGTGGGCCATGGGGACACCAGAGGAAAGTCAGCAGAGAAACCAGCCTCCTAGGAGTCCTGTGGGAAACCCATCCTTGACTCCTACCTCCCATTCCCACTTTCCCCCTCTCATCTGCCCTTACCTCTGCCCTCGGTCACCTGGGAACGTAGAGTGGCTCCTCACCTCCCTGTCTCCTTTTATATGCCCTTTCTGACTGCTTGGTCAGCCTCTCAGTCAGGGAAGACTGGCAGGCTTTGTCTAGGAAATAGCTCAACTGTCTCCCTAAGGGAGGGGCCAGTTAAATAAATTATGGTACATCCACCCAATGAGATTTAACTTGGTAAAAATGAATGAGAAAGCTCTTGCTGTATGATATGGGAAAAATCACCAAGTGTATTGTTAAGTGAAAGAAGAAAGGTGCAGAAGGGTGTCTATAGGATGCAATTTTTGTTTGTAATAAAGGAGGAGGGAGTCATAGGATTTTGTACAATGTAAGTCCAGAATATTACTCATTTTGTGATATTCCTGGTTCCATATGTAACTATAGATAGTTACTGATGGTATTCTAAAATTAAACTTTTTATATATTGGGGGAAAAAAGAAGAAGAGGAAGAACATATGTTTCCTTAAGAAAATTCTGGAATGGTACAACAAATTTTTTTAAGTGGTTGCTTCGGGGGAGGGCACAGGTTTGGGATGAAACTTTCCGCTGTGAATCATTCTATGCTGTGTGTTTGTTTGTTTTCAATTACAGTTGACACTCAATATTATTTTATATTAGTTTCAGGTGTACAGTATAGTGGTTAGACATTTATATAATTAATGAAGTGATCCCTCTGATAAGTCCAGTACCCACCTGGCCCCATACATAGTTATTATAATATTATTGAATATATTCCTTATACTTTACATCTCCATGACTATTTTATAACTACCAATTTGTATATCTTAATCCTTTACCTTTATCACCCAGTCCCCAAACCCAACTCCCCCCGGCAACCATCAACTTGTTGTCTGTATCTATGAGTCTGTTTCTGTTTTTTGTTTGTTTGTTTATTTTGTTCTTTAGATTCCACATATAAGTGAAATCATATGGTATTTGTCTTTCTGTGTCTGACTTACTTTACTTAGCATAAGACCCTCTAGGTCCACCCATGTTGTCACAAATGGTAAGATTTTATTCTTTTTATGGCTGAGTAAAATTCCATGGTATATATGTACCACCACATTTTTATCCACTTGTGTATTGATGGGCACTTGGGTTGCACCCATATCTTGGCTATTGTAATGAACATAGGGGTACATATATTCTTTCAGTTTTGTGTTTTGGTTTTGTTCAGATTCCAGTAGTGGAATAGCTTGGTTATAAGGCAGTTCCATTTTGTAGGGAAGCAAGCCTGTGCCCGTGAGAACACCCAGGTGTTTGTTGGAATCTTTATGCTTAAAGGACTCTGCAGACGCCTGTGTCTTCTCAAGGATGCTTACCCTGCTGATAGTATCTAATAGTTAACCAGTTAACTGTCATGCGTCCAAAACAGAAACCATCCCCACATGCCATGATATTTTGAATTTAATTTAAAAAATCAATTTGCAATGAATATTATAAAAATAAATATATTACTCACAATTTGGGTGTTCTTGAATATTTTCAGTTGAAAATTCTCACGAAAAATGATTTAAAAGTTGGTCAGGGCTGCCACTTAGGGAAAACATTTTATTTTTTAATTCTTCCAAAGAACATTTTATATTATTTTTACGTAGCATATACACAGTTGAAAAAAAGTATTATTTACACTTATTATTTAAAAAATTAAAATTGCTTCAGTGTATGATAAAGTTCGAAACATGGTACAACACATAACGGAACATTACATTGTTTACAAAAGTATTTGGTTTCTTTTCGCTGTTTTGTACCAATACTAGTAGAAGAGCATACCAAACACATTTTCCATAGATATTTTTTTTCCAATAGGCAGATATTTCCCCCAAAAAATGTCATTCATATAATCTGGATGGCAAGCCAGTGGCATAACATTTTCTTTACTCAGGTCACGCTAATTTATGTTTTTTAATTAATTGCCTGATTACCTGTAACTGGAAATCACCAAGTGTAATATTGCTATTTTTTTTGCAGCTATAGACGTGTGTGATAGACATGCAGCTATAGATGAGCATGTGGGGAAGGTCTGCCACTTGCATCTATAGATACTTATGGCAAACAAAGAGTTAATTTTAGTTCACGCTGTTGTTACAATAAAAGCCTAAGGAGACAGGTAAACGGGGCTATTAGGTTTCTCCAGCCAGGCAGTCCCTTAGCCCTCTCTTTCACAGAAACATGTGTCAGAGTAATCATTCATCCGTCGCTCAGGGTCTGCTGGTCAACCCCGACACCATTTTTTATTTTTTTGAGGACCCTCCATACCATTTTATATATATACTAGAGGCCCGGTGCACAAAAATTTGTGCACTCGGGGGGAAGGGGGGGGTCCCTCAGCCCAGCCTGTGCCCTCTCACAGTCTGGGACCCCTCGGGAGATAATGCCCTGCTGGCTTAGGCCTGCTCCCGGGTGGCAGAGGGCAGGCCCAATCCCTAGGTGCAGCCCCTGGTTGGGCTCAGAGCAGGGCCGATTGGGGAGTTGGGGCACCGCCCCCTGTCATGCACAGAGCAGGGCGGATCGGGAGGTTTCGATGCCACCCCCAGTCACGCTCAGGGTAGGGCCGATTGGGGGGTTGGGGCACCGTCCCCTGTCACACTCAAGGCAGGGTCGATGGGGAGGTTGCAGCGCCACCTCCTGTCATGCACAGAGCAGGGCCAATCCGGGGGTTGGGGCGCTGCCCCCTGTCAC